AAAAATCAACCGAGCCGTCCAGTCTCTTCTGGAACACTGTCCATCCTCCACCAGCTGTTGTTTGGTCACAGAATACCTCAAAGATAGACATATTATCAGGTTTAATGGTGTACACACCATCAGTTGTTTGACCGGATTTGTAGATTTCAGCACAATTTCGTTTGACTGCGAAGGAAAAACAGTAATGATGAGTTCTTTAGGTATAACTTTGCTCTCCACTAGGAATTTTCTCCCCAAACTAACAGGTTGTGAACCTAATGCTTCACTTTTGTGTCCCTTTTAATTGATTATGTTAATTGATTAATCAATTTTCATGGTAACACAGAACCTTTCGCTTGAACACTTTTGGGAACTTTTGATTGTTAATCTCAGTTTCCTTCTCTTGCTTTCGCTTCGACTGATACAATCTAAATGCAAAGATTTCTGGTGATTCATATGGGGTGTCATTGTTTGGCCAAACAATTCAATAACTTTCACGACATTTACCGTTGGTGATAGAGCATTACCATTTTTACCTTTAAATTGGCAGTTTTCCCCGGTGAATCCAGGTCGACAGAGACAACGAAAACCTTTACTGGTGAATCCAGCCTGACACGTGCCACTGTTCGCACATGGGTTGTTGCTGCATGGATTCTGTTAAGAAAAGAAACACAATACTTTTAAGTTTAAAGAAAGATCAGACTCCTCACTAATTCTGACGAAATACACATGGTACTATGCCAAGCAATACCTCGATTATGGCTGAATAGGTGAAACTTGGTTTGTTCTCAAGAAATTTGACAAATTGGTCTTCATCCGTGGCGTTGTTCAACTCGCATATGAGTTTTCCTCCTTCCAAATGACCCACATTGATGGACACACAATTAGGCTCCATATAACACATCACTCTGCAGCTCCCTTCATTAGTCACCTCAGTGCTCCTGATCACGTGATTTCTCATTGCCGTGTTTGTTACTGATTCCTTAAATACGATGCTGCGAAATTCGTCATCTGTAGAAGGAACTGAAAGCCAAAAGTACCAAAATTCTGACGGAGCGATGTTATAGTTTTTTTATTTTTAAAAATTTACCTATTTTATTTCAAATTCGTTCTTTTCAATCTCAGGGTTGTCAATGAGTTTAGCCACTGTCTAAGAAACTAACAAAATACTCAGGAGTAAGCTGCAATGTAACGGTCACATCGAGAAGTCGTTTCCCCTCCCCCCCCTCCCACCCATGAATTTATTATGATAAAGATTTAAAATCCTTTTTTACCATTGTCATTCAGATTTGTTGTATCATAGGCAACCTTTTCGGGAGAGAGATTGCTATTGACTTTATAGAATGAACAACATGCGTTCTGCTATTTCCACCCATTTTTCGGGAAAAAAGTATAAAATTCAAACATGCGTGAACTGAAAGTTTTGCTTTTATTATTATCTTAAAGGTTTCTGAAACAAAAAGAAAAAGGGAGACAGCAAAGCTTGCCCAACAAATTAGATCAATGATATGCGCGTTAATTTCTATCTTTCCAAACACTTTTCACCGAAGAGAAAACCGGGTAAATTTTTCATAGAAAGATTTTTCTTTCCAGGGCAAATTAAAATACGCAATGGCAAAATTTCGAAGAAATCGTATTTTAAAACGAAAGCAGAACTAAAAAGCAATTCCTTTTGATAAGTACAAGGACGTTTCAGTGTAAATATTGTCAGGGATGATACTAAAAACGATTGAGCGCGAATTGAACTGAAGGTGAACTGATTTTAAAAGCCGACTACCTCTAAGCAAACAACTGAGAGAATTGAACAAAAACAACTTGAGCACACACCTGAAAATAACAGTAAATCTAGAATTTAGTTGTGCACGGGAGTCCTACAAGTTTCTTTCCTTGCCTTAATAATTAATTATACAAAAGCAGAAACTATGTGAAGAAATAGAAAGCTTCTGAGGGCGTTTTTTCGTGAGTGTAAAGGAAACAAGGTAAATTCATGACGCTACATCGAGACATGTTAAAGTTGACCTGCCAAATACGTCGCCGCGTAATATGAAACATTGGAAAGCTTACTGAAGTAGGTGAACCAAGGAAAAATAATGGGATCACCGAAACAACTTTAAGTGCAAATGGAAGGCATTATTGACTTGTATCTTACAGAGCTCTTAGTCACTGGTTTACATATTTCAAAAAAAAAAATGTGTCGGGTTGATGTTGAACATTACGCGCTTTATTTAATTATCAGCGATGTGAAAAGCGGAAAATAGAACTTACCAGCAGAACAACAGCATGATATTAACGTGTTGGCAAGTAAAACATAAAGATAGAGAAGATTCTTAGACGATTCGTCAAACTTAAACTGTAAAATTGTAACACACATTTTTTTATCGATGTGTTGAAAGCATCAGAGTAGAAACTTGTCGCCCATTGAAGCTTCTAAAATAGAGCAGGTGTGTTCAACGCATTTTCATTATTCGTCTGCAACAAATGAATACCTAAAATATTGTCAACAAAGATAATTAATGCGTTGTCATTGTGTAAAGTAGTAACTGTCGGATTGAGGTGGCAAATATTAATCAAAATAGTGCAACTAAACAACCGGAGGATGTAGGCTCTCAAGCTGGCAGATACAATGCACTTTTTCAATATTGAAAATCTTTTTCCAGTGGCATGTAAGAAGTATTCCTCAAACGAAAATCGAATTGCAGCCAGAAGGCAAATAATTAGTAATTAGTATTTACTCCAGCCCTGAAAAAAATTTGAATTGAACTAAGCAAATAATAAGTATTTAGTTTTTATTCCAGCCCTGAAAAAAATTTGGATTGAACTAAGCGTTCGGTTACAATTCTGCAGCCCGGATAAGGCAAAAAACTTATGAATAAGAACCCTCTGCCATTTTTGTTTTGAAACCCGAGGAAAAGTTTTCTGTCCCCACTGAAAAACATACAATTTATTTATTATATTGCCAAAAGACTTAATAATCGCGGCGGCAGAAGCGCGGTCTTCTTTCTTGGATATGGTCGAAACAAGGCGGCAATTGTCCTAAAAAAGAAGCTGTGCAGGAAAAAACGATTCAGTGTTTTCAGAAATATCCTTTTTCTTTTCCAGATAAGAAAAGGAAAAAACAAAGCTGTGATCTCAAATCTCTCCATCTTAGCTTAGTTGGATTCCAAGTGAGGAAACGAGTGTACGACATTTTTTCCCCTGACTGGTCACCCTCTCCAGAAATTTTGCGAAAACCTTAAAATTTGATGGCGGAGGTAACTTAAGAGGGGCCTTGCTAACAAAAATACGGAAGATTTGAAGCAAAGCACAAGTAAAGCGCTCTTTCTTTAACAAATGTCGTTGAAAATTATCAGTCTTAAATTATATTAATATGAAAACAACTTTATTATCATGTTAATATGAAAACAACTGTATTATCATGTAACTTAAAGCTTGAAAGGCAAAATGTTCGGAATAAAAGGTGCAAAAGATTGGGCAGTCAATCTGCGAAAGAAGAAGAATTTAAACTCTGAAGTTTTAAGTTTTAACTTGAAAGAGTTCCATATTGCTTGAAACTACCGTGGTTTCCTTTGACATTGCTTACCCGCCCCCAAAGACAGTAGAATGTTCTAGCTAAATTAGCATAATTTTCTTGGCAGGAATAATGTTCCCTAATGCTCTCATTATTGGGTGGTAAATAATTTATGTGCCCTGCAGTCTTCTACTCTTTCCTGTCAAAAATAATTGCGTGTTATTTTAGCTTTTCTTTTTACGTTTTAATTTTGCGTTTATGTTTGTTGTCTCTAACATTTATATCTGAGTTTTGAAGGATTCAAATTGTGGCCGAAAGCTTACGTTATTTTAAACAGAGATCGCCTTATTCGTGTAGATTTGAAGAACTTAGGGACGCCAGGACTAAGCCGAACTCAAACAAGTTGCTCTGAAATTTTCAGCTGAACAACAAACAATCAATGAAGATGATTTTGGATTCGTGAAAATCGCAGATTTTCTTGATGCGGAGGAAACCTGACTACACCTGTTCACAAAACTTTTTCTTTTAAGCGCGCCGCAAGAAACACAAGGAGACATGAATCCAAACATCTTTCACCAGAACAAACAGCTGTATTTCGATTTTCATTCTTCATTCAAGTACCTTTGGCAAAAGAAAGGGATTATCTAATAATTACTGAAACATCGTGAAGACAGGAATGAAAGGCAGTGGTGAACCATAATATTGTTAACGGTCTGAACAGGATTAACCCCATCTCAAAGCCATTATATGAAAGATCCCATGTTCTGCTTACATGTTACTGGCTACGTTTTGCCTTTTTTTCTCTCCATGATAAAAAATTTCATGTTCGGATTTATGAACCACGCAGCCTCATTGACAGGTTATCAAGGAAAAAATTATCAAAACAAAAGCAGGAATACTTCGTTTAGTGGCTATTAATAAAAAGCTTTCACTGAGAACTATAAACAAATTCATAAAATTATAAAACACACTCTTCAGTTTACTGTACTCATTTTTTTCGTTATCTCGTCTTACTTTTATCTCACTTAAGTCTTATTTTATCCCATTCAAGTTTATCCTATTTATATTGTACATTTTTTTAAATGATTTGTAGGATTTTTAACATCTATCTAACAAGAAGATTTTGAGTTCGAGATGTCAAACGCTTGATAGACGAAAGCGGTTTGGGTCGAGTCGCGACCCGACCCAAGTCTCTCTCGTTTTTTATCGTTTTTTCCAATTGCTATCGCGCTTCGTTTTACGAAGTGAATGCCTAGAACAGGTTAAACTAAATTAACGAGACAGGTTCTTATTTCAATCTCACTCTGTTTACAACTACACACCGTTAGAGTATATAGTACAAATAGACAACGAGTAGCATAACCAATCAGATGGTAAAATGCTTGCAAGTTTCTACGAATAGAAAGTTTGAAGCTGTTCTGATTGATTTTAAAGTGTTTCTATTTAGTCCCTTCGCTAATATCATTTTAGTGTGAAACTTCAGGAGTGGTATCCACTCCTCTACTCCTTCCTAACTTCCCTCCTACTTTCGTTTATTCATTCCAATACCTTAACAAAATGTGAACTGATTAATGATTTACATTGCTGACACTTTGAACGAAAAATACAAGCAGTACATGCACTTAACGAGGAGCTGTGATTAAGCACCCGACCCCTGAAGACCAAATTTGATTTAAATTACATCGACGTGGGATAAGACAGGAAAACAAAAACGCGTTGCTGACTCAGTGATCATAAACAGATATCTCGTCAAATGACATGACGAATAACTTGGCATTTCTGCATTCCCACTGAAATATCATTAAAAGACTATCCTGTAGAATCCTATATTGAAATTTGAGGTTTTGGTTCAATGTGTCGCTTTTTTTCCAAAAAGTAAATAAAAAAACGGAGAAAGTTTCGTTAAACTTAACTACACCAATCCATTGTTTACCTTACAAAATCAGTGTCAAATTACAACTTGTTAAATATCCCTCGCGTGGGTGATTTAGCTATTTGTTGTATACATATCTAAATTTGAATTTAAGGCTCACATCTTTTAATTTTATCACCAATCAAGTCGATAGTAACTATATGGTAAACCTAGCCATTGTCATGGGATGAATATTTCATTAAGGAAGTCAACCGCATAAGCCATACGAATGACAGGATGTTGTTACCATCGGCAATAAAAATGAGTTTTGCCAAGTCGTAATCGAAATATAATCGAAACGAAATGTTTTCACAGCTGTAGACCAGGCGTATTTTTTTCTAATTTCTTGCTAAATCTATAGACAGCTAGGTCGATTTTTTTTTAATCAGAAACTTCTCCTCCTCAAGTAAAAGCAAGCGTTTAAATGTATTTAATCTTGGAATCCTTTCGTGTCGTGGAAAGTTTTTAGATTTTCAATTTTTCTTCAATTCCTTATATTTTGACCGTGTCAGATATTTCTTGAAAATCATACAAGAACCATACGAGACTTGCGGAATGAAAGTTTGCCTCAAACAACATTTCAAACAAGTTTTCTTAAAATAAGTTGCCATATGGATAGTATCCAGACCAAGGAGGTTTGGGGATGGGAAAAGAAATACGTATTATTCAAAGCTGACTGACATTCTCTTAATATCTTATACTGTATTCTCAGCGCTGAGCCTTACATGTTCAAGTGTTTGAGAAGTTATAAATTTTTTTTGTGGTGCGTTCTTGAGTGATTCAAATTAGCTACAGGTGACAAATTTGTAAACAGTACCGCATGCCAAGTATTGACTGACGCTCACTCTAGTTTTGGCTGGTTTTCCAATTCACCCCGTGGAGTGAATGGTTTTGTCGTGCAGACCCTGTAATTCTTCCAGGTTCGTGGATAACGACACAAAAATTAATGAAAATTGAAAACAAAGACACGAATGTCCCTTCAAGTAAGGTAAGCTGCCCCTGGCTTGATATGCTTAAATTCATTGTTTAGGAGAAAAGCTTAGTACCTTTCTAAAAAATATTATTTGCGCATCGCACCTTTTATAAAGGCAGATCAGCTGCAAGGCGGCAATTGAAAAATTAACACGCAACATTCAGTAGTAACATCGCCAACAACGATGTAGGATGTAATTTTGTAATACTCAACCAGTAGTTGCGTAGTTAAAAATAACACGGGATCAGAAGCGTTGGGTTTTTGTTTTCTGCGTACTGTAAGTTAACTGCTACTGATAAATTACGTTGGTATCAGCAGGACTGGTTTTAACAGGTCAGGCGATAAAACACGCTAGAATGCGCTGTATTTCTTTCTCACTATTCCGTTGCAGTACACTGTCAAAACACTGGTATATGCCAAAAGATTGGCAATGCCAAATGAAAATAACTTTAATTTTAAATCCAAATGAGAATGGTCGGGTAAAAAAATTTTAAATGTTTCTCTCTTTTACACGACTTTTATCTCACAATGAATACGCTTACAGAGAAGCATTTAGATGACACAAACACACTGAATTCCGGCGAACATGATTTTGAATTTGTTTTCTTCACCAAAACAATAGTTTGACACTTACGAAAAAGAATATAACTTTAAGCTTAATTTCTGAGGGATTTCGCTGGAAAGCAAG